CAAACAAGAAAAAACGAATTAAACAGTAAAACTTTTAACTCGAGGCCTGTGTTATTTTGAGAACTAGTTACTTGATTTACACACTGGATACCGTATTTGCAGGATAGATATCGTATATGCAGTGAATTTAAACACTGAATTTCCACATTTCGTTTTTTCATGTAATTTTGAATATAACAAATTCAATTATATATAACAAATTTAAAGATTACGACAAAATATCAATATACAAAAACGAGTAACAAATAAGGAAAAAACGAATTAAAAAGTAAAATTTTTAACCCGAAATCTGTGTTACACACAGTTTCCTTAAAACAGATTCGTCACCTCACCGTTTGTGTTTGAGGTTTAACTTGAGCATTTGTTTCCAAGAATACAACGGTAAACCTGTAGAATCCAAACACTACAGATTCTAATCCGGCGAACTGACTTACTATCTGAACAATATCACCACCAACACCTTGACAGACAATAAAATATGTATGCAGACAGAGGACAATTTCGTGTGTTTTGGAACTATAATGTAGACTGTTCAAATTCAATTATATATAACAGATTTAAAGATTACGACAAAATATCAATATACAAAAACGAGTAACAAATAAGGAAAAAAACGAATTAAAAAGTAAAATTTTTAACCCGAAACCTGTGTTACACACAGTTTCCTTAAAACAGATTCGTCACCTCACCGTTTGTGCTTGAGGTTTAACTTGAGCATTTGTTTCCAAGAATACAACGGTAAACCTGTAGAATCCAAGCACTGCAGATTCTACTCCGGTGAATTGACTTACTATCTGAACAATATCACACCAACACCTTGACAGACAATAAAATATGTATGCAGACAGAGGACAATTTCGTGTGTTTTGGTACTATAATGTAGACTGTATTCTTCATGTCTGGAATAGTGGAAAATGAGGCTTTGTATAGACTTAGCCCCATTAAATTGTCCATAGCTCAATGGCAATAACCGTTGGAGTTTCAGAAATCAAAAGTCATGGCAATAATGGCAATAATCATTGGAGTGTCAGAAACAAAAAGTCATTTGTTGAAAGTAAAAAAGTGACAAAACTTAGGCCACCCTAAGGAGCCATTTTTTGGTCAATTCGGTCTGACATTTGTGTACGCAGGTCGTGCCCGCACACAAGTTTAAGATCCAAAGCCTATTTCAGTCCATGATTTGCACCTTCCCGCGTACACATGTAGAGAGAGCCTTCATGTTACACAAGATTACACACTTTCAAAGTGGTTCTTGCTTTCATAAACTTCATATGGGGGATAAACTCAAATTTATTTTTCCCTCCAACATAAACTATATTTCAATGGTCTACTTTGAATTTCAATTTCTTATTCACCTGAGCTTCATTTTTGGAAAGTAAGTACATGATTTCGATGTACTCACGGAGGAGAACGAAAATCAATCTTTATATTCCTAAATAGCCAAACGGGTTCCACTCAAAACTCATGCCAAAGTCGGCCACATACTCATTTTTCCAACACTGAGAACCTTCGTAGGATATCTATCACTATCAGTAAAAGTGCCGAGGTTATATGAGTAGAAGGCACCTCATCATGGATGAAGCCAATTATAGCCTTACTCAAGTATAAAGTCCTTCTCATGACAAGAAAGAAGCTTGTAAATTTAGATGAAGAAAGGACGATCACAAATTCTAGCCACAATATGGGATTTGAAGGTTGGATATCATCAATTGATCGGGAGATATACATGCTTTGAAGAGGAGATTAATGATCCATTATTGAGAATTAGACGCCAAAAAATAACTCCTAGGATTATTTCTTTATTCCTTGTATTCAACCCAATGATGTTTTTAATATTTATGTTATTTAATTTCAATAATATGATTGGCCAAATTCTTTGTTGTTAGGATGAACTATGTAACTTAGGTTAATATTTGTCTTTTTCAATTGATCTCATGCAATTTTCATTATATTTTAAATGTTTATTGTGTATTTAATTGACATTCAATTGCTTGATCACCAATGACGTGATTTAAGGACAATATTAAGACCAAGAGGAGATTTATTTGTTTAGTTCGCGCAATGAAAAACATAAATTTTGATAAGAGATCTAAATATACTTTTATAACTTATGCAATCATAATTTAATACTTTACATGTGATGAATTTACATAGAAATATAGTAAATTGATTAATTCGATTGTTAATACATATATAATTTAATGTTATCTCAAAGTAAATAAAATACAATAATAAGCCGTTATTTCAAAAACTCCACATATCTTATATTTAGCTTTTGAGTGTGTGTCTCTTAAAACATTCTCAGTTCCTTTTATGCTACTTAAACCAAGACTTCAACTTTCAAAGTTTTTTTCCAAACAATACCAAATCTCTTATATGACAATATATAGTTTCTCATCACTCGTATTGCTCTCTGGATTTTTCAATTTTTTTTCCTCTAAAATGAACTAAACAGGTGATATTTGGCTTATTTTTATCATCAACTCAACCACTCTCTAAATCTCTAATCAATTACCAAGACTTAGCCTGACAGAGGCAATGCACTATAAAGCCCAAAATGTGTAATTAATAAAAAATTAAATTTTCGATTTTTCAGATAAGTGTTGGACGATGGAATTTGTGATGTCCCAAGTCTTAGAATATGGATTTGTTACCAAAATGTGTTTCTTAGGTTTTCAAAATTCAGATTAAAATTAAAAAATTTTATTTTCTTTATATTTTATAGATTATCCTTACGTTCTAGTATAAGTTTCAACAACGTACATAACACATTTATTAAGATAGTTAGTTTTGGATCGTTGAATAAATGAAGCCGAAACGAGGATGGAAACTGAGGCAAGATTAAGTTATCAAATTTCTACCCTACAATGCGCTATTCAACAATCATGCTCAGTTCAACATTTGAAATTTTATGTAATTTTTACAATATTTCCTAAACTTATTCAAGTACAACATAGTAAAATTTTAGAATTTTCTAACATTATTTAGGCACGCAATTGGATATTCAATCACATGCCAAAAGTTGTACCCAAGTACATTGCATACAACACACGAAAAATAGCATAATTTATTGTAACGGGCATATGACTCATTGGTCTTTTAAATCCCACTAGTTTCACTCAAAACTTTGCAGAATTCGATTCGAGATGACAATTTGAAAATTGGACAAAAAACTAAAATTTTTAGTTTACATGTTTACTTATCCGAATTCACACACCTAATCACATTTTCTTGTCAAAGTTTACATTAACGTGTCATCCTAACATAATTTAATAAACATCAATTCATATAGTTATATGAAAATCTAATTCCACGCCCAAACAAATACAAGCTCAAACACAAATAATCTTGTAAATCCATTATCTTAGTCTTAACTTTAAAAGCATTCAATTGTAGTAATTCAATTATGACTACATAAGCTATAAAAGTATCTCTCAACCTCTTATCAAAATCTGTATCACTTGTTGCATGAACTAGACAACTTAATCTCCTCTTGATTTCAATATTATCCTTAAATTATGCAACTGGTGATCTTGCAAGGAATGTCAATTAAATAGACAATAAGCAATTAACAAATAATCAAAGTTGTATAAAATCAATTAAATTTAATAAACATTAACCTAAGATACATCGTTTATCCAAACAACAAAGAATTTTAGTCAATCATATTATTGGAATTTAATAATTAAAAATTAAAAAATCTCCAAGTTCAATACAAGGAATAAAGAAAAGAATCCTAACAATTATTGTTCTTTGGCACCCAATTCTCAACAATGGATCATAAATCTCCTCTTTAAAGCATGCATATCTTCAGGCCAATTGTGTTCTTCAACAAATTATAAATTGAGATACAAATCTTGAGAATTTGATGTACTTTGATGCGTAATGTTACCTCAATATTATACCTCTAACCTCCTCTTTTGTTTGAATGAAATTTTTTTATTTATAGACCTCAATTTATATTTATAGAAATTCATGCCTCTCCGAAAGAAATAATACAATATTCTTATAAATCAAGTTGTACTTCTTCAAGGGTAAAGACACGATATTCGTCTTGTAGATTGTTACGTACAAATTTTGTTCTTCTTAGGAGATACAATATAATATTTTTCGAAAATATTGACATTAAAAAGTTTATACTTCTTCTGAAACAATACAACAATATCATTCTAGAAATTTTGACACCTATAACTTTGTTTTTCTTCGAAAGCAACAAAATAATAATTTTTTTAGAATAGTGATTCGTATTAAAATTGATTCTTTTTAGAAGTAATATCGCAATATTATTCTGAAATTTTGATATGAACAAATAAATAGCATTAAAATAATAATGCAATATATATCTATCATTAATGAGACTAATAGTTATTATTATGATCTACCATCTTACACTAGTTTGTAATTTTTACGTGAAATTTTATAGAAAATAAATGCAGAAAGTGTGAGGACATAATGATAGCACTATTTTAATATGCGGGTATGCGTGAGGAAAAAGTCCCCACACGGGAAAGGCATGAAAAATATGATCACTCAATTTTTAAACGGCTAAATGTGGGCATAAATGTCCGAAAGCGAGTAAAATTTAAAATTTGACTGTACACTTTACATTATTTTGAGATTATTAAAACCTTCTATGAAAGTATGGCTAGTACACTCCCATAAAGCTTCATCATAACTGATTATTTGAAAATAATTTTGATTATAAGATAGGAGTCTTGTGAATAATAAAGTGGTATTTGAGAAGTGGACTGTGGACCTCAAGAGATCCGAAAGACAACTAGAAACATCACAATCACAAAATTCTACATTATTTCCATCCAGGAAAACTGAAAATTCAAGAAAATTTTGAAGAAAAATAAAAAATACATTCTCGATTTCTGCCAAAAATCTGGTAACCGTTTGCTCCCTTCCCTTTCTCATTGCACACACACTCACATACAAAACTGGGTCATCTTCAGATTTTCCAGTTGACGCCTTTAAATAAGTAGCAAGAGAGAAAGATGACTTCACTCTCCAGCGTGGCTTCTATATCCATTGTTCCATCACAAAGCAGCGGAGTGTTGTTTCCTGCATTTGGTGCTTCGAACTTTCCACAACTGTTACAATCTCGGTTAGCTATTTATGCTCTCTATTCCACTTGTTTGATTTCAAGTTGTAATTTCTTGAAGGTGAATGAAATAACAGAAAAGGTTATGCACAAGAACTGTTTGTATGTGTGTATGCTTGTTTTCTTTCTTTTATTTGGAAGTTGCAAATGATGAAAATAAGGAATTTAACAGAGGAAAAATTAGTTTTCTGATGTTTAAAGGATGATGTCCATTTCTGAAAGCTATATGATTTTTTCTCAGATTTGAAATTAGTCTACCTGTATATCCTTCCCCCTTGTAAATTATGGATATTGGTTTTAGGGAAAAAATTTCCTCTTGATTAATAAGGGAGGGTAATTAGACTATTTATGCAGTTGATCTTTTTGCTTGATTAATTTAGGGGTTCGTCATACGCTGACATACTAGTTGCATTATAATGCTTAAGGTGCATTCACTTCCCTTCAAAAGTTAAACCCTCATGGAAGACTGAGATTTTTGAAATTGTAAAATTAAACTTTTGCTTTGCAACTACATATCTCCTATCCTGATAGGTAGAGAATGGGAATGGTAGAGAAAAATGCATTCTTATAGGTAGCTTTTGGAAAATAATGCTATAAGCGTCTAACAGTTGATATGTTCCTCCTTGAACTGTCTGTACCCCTTTTCCAAGTGAAGTGAGGAAAAAGTGACTCATGTTGCCTATCCATAGTTAATAAAAAATAAGACTTAACTTGTTGTATGACATCCTTTTGATCTATTTAAACTTTTTTTTACCTATAGCTTTTAAGAACATAACTGAAAGAACCAGTGTAATTCAGGCAAACCATCTTTTAGATGTTGATTGTTGATACTGTTTTTGTCATGATTTCATGTATTTTCTGTCTTGTAGCTCGTGCATGGCTGGTGTTAAATGCAGCTATGCAGAAGCTGGCATAAAGAAGGATGTCAATGTCGGGACAATTGATGTGGTGGCTGATGTTAAGGCTGAGCGAGTATGGCCCGAGATATATCTCCATTTTGTTCATTTATATTATAAGATGCAACTCTGGCAACTTTGTGATGGAGTCAACAAATATGATTTAATAATTAATTAGAGTACATTAAACAAATAAAATAAATAGAAATAACTAATATTTAAATCATATTTGTCAACTCCGTCACTTTGGAAAGTAGACATTACTTATGTATATCCATTGCCAGATTGTAGTATTAGGAGGCAGCGGTTTTGTCGGTTCTGCAATATGCAAGGCTGCCGTATCAAAGGGTATCGAGGTCATTAGTCTTAGCAGGTGCAACAATCTCTCTTCAAGAACCTGACCATTTAATTTCAATTTTTTATTGCTTAAGTCCCAAGTTACCAGGTTAATTATTTTTTAAACTGAGGAGTTCTAGTAAATGATTCGTTGTCGCATACTTCTAATGCCTGCCTTCTCTCTCTCTCTCACTGTATGAAGTTGTTGATTCTGAAGCATTGATGAATGTTACAGGTCAGGGCGTCCTTCATACACAGCTTCATGGGTAGATCAGGTCACATGGGTCATGGGTGACAGGCACGTTCATTTCTCTATTTCTACCTTAATTAGATTTACAATGATATAGCTTCAAAGCTACTATTTTCGCAGTTTGGTACGTCGTAGTGGATAGGGTTGGACAGTAAACAATGTTTCAGCTTTTCTGTTCTCTTTCTTAATATTATTGAGTACCATCGAAACTATCTAGTCAAACAAACCATTGAGTTTATATATGGGCTATGGAAGCAGAAATCTTTCCTTTCTGTTTAATGTAACTCTAGCTCTTTAAATATTGTAATTCATCAATAAGCATTTGTTTCCTTCCATATGCATCTAACTCATTGTTCAAAACCAGCGATTATACACGGATGGATGACATAGCTTAATATGCAGTATATCTGATGGCAAATTCTAGATAATCCAGAAACTTTATGATTTATTGAAAACTCAAGATTCTATCAAAAATAAGTTTTAGTCGAACACAGGTATAATATTGAATGATCGAAATGGAGCTTGTATTCTTTGCCAATAATGTTCCACCTTTTTAATTAGATTGTCATTCTTTCTTCAGAAGAAGATGATTGATATCCCCTATGTACTGGTGGATTTAGTAGAGACAGTTGTTTGTTAGCCAAGGCATGGTCTTCACATTAGTAGAAACAATGTGTCCAGAAATCCTAAACCCCAAAATATAAAAAAAATATAACATAATAAAATCACCAAAAACTAAAACGTTGTAATGACCAATTCCATCTTTTCCCATATTTCCACCAGATTCCTAGAAAGAGTCAAGTTCTGCAAACAGAAAGAGAGGAATAAACATCCTAAATGATTAAAATCATCCTTCCCTGTTGGTATTATGAGGTTTTCCGCCTTCTTTGAGTACATATTGTGAACTTTATGACAACTTTTGGAGGCTTCAAAACACAATTGTATGAGTTAAGAATAAAGATCTGAGCTTGATGTAAATAATTTATGATTGACCGGACGTTCGTCGGAAAGGTAATATAACAAGGAGGGCATTAATTATATAATGTGTGCTTTAAGCAAAAGTTTGACCGGTTCTCCAGGCTTCCTATGCTTTAAATGGGGAGAAGAAAAGCATTGTAAATAAAGAGCAGAAAATACGGAGGAAAACTAAGAGAGGGAAAAGAAGCAGTTATAATTGTCTAATCCTTAAATACGGTATTAGCCAATATCAAAAGAGATGCTCACAGCCCTGATATAGGCCCTTTAATATTAAGAACAATTAATCTTAATCTTTTAAAACTTGTAACAGGAAGAAAAATATGTTGGAGAGTTCGGGGATGGTATTGACATAGTCCTATGGGTTAAGAATACGACGGATGGAAAGAAGGATTGGGTGCTCAAGATCTTTGATCCAAGACTCCCTACAGTCCCCCTTCGCGAGGTGATGATGTATTCTGTGTTGTCAAGCTCTGGAGCCCCCCCACCATGCACGAGGTGGTGCATAAACTTACCAAGTTTCTAAATCTACCAAGCTCCAATTCAGGAGATTCAACAACCTTGGAATCCTCTCCACCTACATCTAATTGAGCATCTCTGTCCACAGCTCCTCCAAAGGACACGGAGGACCACCAGATCTTCTTAGCACTTCATTTTTTTCTCATTTAGCTAGTTTGAGTCTGGCTAACTTCTGCATTAGTTTTCTCTTTTTTTCTTTATTCCCTTATGGAGGTGGTGTTCATCCATTGCAATTTTTTGTACAGTAGTAGGATTGATGGGGCATTTTCTAATACTATAAATTATGTTTAAAAAAAAAAAACAAAACAAGACATGCCAGAATAATGTAAAGAGAAAAAAAACACACCTGATTCACTTCTGATCTCAGGTGAATTATAATTAAAAACATTTTACTATGCTAGATATGTTAAATCCACTAATGGTACTACTACAGTACTTTTTCTACTTTATTGGAATTTATAACTATGCCAAGGTATTGCAGAACCAGAGTTGAAGTTGGTCACAGAGACTACCACTGTCACCTGAAAGAATCACTTCTCAATTGACATGCAACGCTTTTATATTTTGGATTCCTAGAGGGTAGAATTTTGGGACGAAGAAATTACCAAATTATTGATTGTTATGAATTGGTTCAGTTTTCTGTATTTAACTCATTCTGGATGTTTACCTTGCACGTATATTTTTTGAGTATCCTTGGACCTTGCAGGAGATGTTTTCTATGCAAACTGGGAGGAAGTGCTTAACGGGGCTACTGCAGTTGTTTCAACACTTGGAGGTTTTGGCAGTGAGGAACAGATGCAAAGGATTAATGGGGAGGCTAATGTCGTGGCAGTAAATGCTGCTAAAGATTTTGGTGAGGAATTCTCCGTCGTAAACTTAGCGTTTATTTGTCTGGGATTCCTATTTGTATGGCCTGTTGAAAATCTTATTTATTTTTACTTTGCCTTAGCTACAGTTTACTGGATAGAATTATGTGATTACATCATGTCACATGACTTGTATAATGTATTTCTTTCTCATTTCTCTGTAGGCATTCCAAAATTTATATTGATATCAGTTCATGATTATAACCTACCATCTTTTCTACTTACATCGGGTTACTTCGTCGGAAAGAGGAAAGCAGAATCTGAGGTTCTCTCCAAATATCCAATGTCAGGTAACTAGTTATATTTTTAGAGTTCTCTCTCTTTCTACACAAATCGGTTGATAAATGCTGTAAGGTAAACTATTAGTAGGTACAGGAAGTGGTTTATTGTAGTTGCAGTTGATTTTGTTGGTACCGAAACCGTAGTTATTAAACCTGGATCCGATCGGCTAGTCCGACCGGGAACCTGGTGAACCGGACACTGGTTCAGTCCAATTCATATATATAAACTGAGAAGCAACAGAACCTCTTTATACATGCCTGAACCGCTCGATTTTCATTCAATCAGTCGAGTTGAGACCCACCAGAACCGGTGGGTTTTTGTCAAAAATGGCCAGTGCATTTTATTATTTATCGATATGAAGAGGCCATGCATTAAACCCAGCATCTATGGGTTGATGGAGGAACCTAATACCACTAGTCTATCTCACTAGATGATCATAATTCTTGTTCAAATAAAATATATAAGCTACTAATTATTATATTATTTTAAAGTATTTTAAATATTAATTTGTCTTAAGAAAAAAATCCAATTAAGAAAATGTGAAAATTTATCTAAATAATTAAAAAAAGAGCAAAAAATTGAAAATTTATAAATTAGAATGCACATTAACTTGTAAGCTCATGGTTTATATTTATGTTTTTGTTTTAATTTTTGACCCAGCAATAACCCCTGGTTCCTGTTGACCCAGTGCTTTGGCTGAGTTAATGATCGAGCCGCATCATATAACTATGACCGAAACAGACTTCCTGGTTAATGAAAACTTCCACAACAATTAGAACAAAAAAACAACTCACGAATTATGAAATGCCATGGAAGCAATTTAGCACAAAATTGGTAAATATAATATACATTGCCACTAGTTCTCAAACATTATTTCAGAACAGTCTCTGGCCTCAAATATACCCCGACATGTCACACCTATATATAGCTTCACGACAATGTATCTCATAGATGTAACTTGATCATCCTCGAAATCTTACATATGACATGGCCCTCATGAAATGATCCTCATACCTCGTTTAATGACCTTCGATTAAATAAATGAGAACAACTTATATCAGTTACCCAAACCGTCAGGCTGAAAATAATTTGAGCACTCTTTTTAGCTGCTATCTTTAATTGGAAAGCTCATGCTAGGGATTACAATGGCCTCTGTATTTGCCTTATCAGTTTATACGAAGGAAGTCATTGAGAGACCAGATGTAACCCTTTAACACATTCAAGAAGATAACCATGTCATTTGACCATCCAAAACATGAGGTATTCCAATTAACATCTCAGTTTCATTCACATAACCTCATCAAAATCACACCTAAGCCCTTCACAATTTTCATCATATTCAAGGTATATTTATAAACATTGCAAGTGTTGCAACATCATGGTCACTCCTCGAACTCATCCCTAAAGTAGTGTACAATTGTTAAAGAGTCATTTGTTCATCAAAAGAGACCTTATAATCCAAAGCATTCAAAAGACTTTGACAAGATTCTGCACTAGTAGCCCTTTTCTTTGCTTCCGTTGTTTTCTTCTCTACAGAGTTATGTTGGATTTATTAGCCTTTGTGCATTTATTCTCTGCTTTGACTTTGCTAAGATCCACACTTATCTCCTCCTTGGGAACATATATCAAGAATTCTACTCTTTACTCGTGTGATGCAGGCGGAAGTATAAATGAATGCAAATACAGGTCTATAAAAGGAAATTCATGCAGGAAGTAACCATTTAGGTCAATATTCAAAATAGACCATCGTACAACATAATATAACACCCTTTTTATACAAAACTCCTAACTAGACTTTTAAAGCAAAACAACCTCTAGAAACTTATCTATGTTGAATAAACTCTTTAACTCTAGAAAACTTATATATTTTGATTAAACTCCTAATCAAAATAAAACTTCTACTAAACATAAAATGACAAAAGATTAAAGTAATTAACAATAACAAAAACTAAACAATAAAATATTAAATTATAGGGTCCACAGGCTTCAGCTTCCCACCAAAATTTGAAATTTTCCTTTAGAATAGGCAAGGTCTATCTGGCGGGAATCCTTGTAGATCCTCAGGAAGTACCTCTAGAAAATGATGTACCACCAGAACATTAGGTTGTCAATTTATTTTCAGTCATGGTGTTGATGGTGCTGACCAGATACTACATTGCATCCAATGTTCAGTAGCCTCCTAGCTTTCTCAGTGGAAATCTCGAGCCTTAGGCTAACTTATCCACGAATGTGGATGGCTCTTTGTTAAGTGGTAGGAATGTCAATCTTTTCTTTCTCCAATCAATGGTGACATTTTACTTGAGTAGATCCATTCCAAATTCCAATCATAAACTCCCATCCCCAATTTAATCCAATTTGCATGCAATTCCCAGTCTTCAATCTGGATTGGAAATGCCCTTGGAATCTGATCCCTCTCTTGTACCTCCCCAAATTGGACTATCACCCATATTTGTTTTATGATTTGTCTGATGGTATGCCCTTTGATTTTACATACTCAACTGGTACAGATGAATGCGTTGCACTGAATCAAATACTAGTACTAGACTGACTGCTTCGAATAAAAGTAAAATTACCTACAACCTTTAGAGGATTAGTGTCGGTGTCCCAATCTTTGTCTATGTTTGGGTTGTTGAGTACAAAAAAAGGAAAAAAAAAAAAATTAACGGAGGTTTTTTTAATCTCTCCTAGTATAGAAACACCTGCTCATCATAAAATGCATTCAGAGAAAATTGTGGGGCTTTCATAATCATCATCATCATCATAGGAGAAAATATTGTCCCATGTCATTCTTGTAAAAAATCTCATGATCAATTCATTTCTCACAAAATAATGCAAGTACAACATACTATAGATGAATATGTGAAATTCATATTAGAGATAAATGTTAGTATAACATTCTAGATATAAATGTTCAAATTATTGTCGTATACACGATGGATTATAAATGTGAAAGTGCAAATAAAGAATTAGTGTCGCCAAATGAGTATGAAAGACTGGGAGATGACACTTTACAAATAACATGATCTCGAATGATTAAAAAATTGTGGTTAATCACTTGTTAAGCTGTAAAATCTATTTCCAGTGTGGTGGACGAGAGTCTTTACTTTGTCTCTTCGTGATAACCATGGCTTTCATTTTTCAACTTCAACAGGTGTAGTTTTCAGACCAGGGTTCATATATGGGAAGAGGAAAGTTGATGGATTTGAGATCCCTCTGGATATGATAGGGGAACCGCTTGAGAAGTTTCTGCTTGCTGCAGAAAATTTTACTAAACCTTTAAACTCTCTGCCTGCCTCCGATTTACTCTTAGCCCCACCAGTTAGCGTTGATGATGTTGCCTTTGCTGTGGTAAATGCTGTCATAGACGACGACATCTTTGGCATTTTCACTATTGAGCAAATTAGGGAAGCGGCAATAGCGCTTAAGGTTTGAAATAATATTCACTGGCGCCAGTTTGAGATCACTCTCGCGCCTTGGAGTCGGGCTTTCTTTTTGTCCTTGAGACAGCAGAAAAACAGCAATTATAAACATTTATTTCTGCAAATTAGATGTGTTTGATGATGCTTTTCAGTTGGTTATCATATCTAATTGGCTTTAATAACCAGTCTAATTGGCATTAAGTTTTTCATTCTCGACCAACTTTAATTTATACAATTGCATGATGTGAACAAATTTTCATGCTCGACCAACTTAGATTGATGCCATTGCATGATGTAAACATATTTTAAAAATTCGGCTTAACATGCTTTAAAGAAATCGATTTGAGCTTTTCCTTCTATTAAATGGCACCTCAAAAGGGTATATTTGAATAAGTCATTAATTGGTTCAATTGATCCAGTAAAATCAAGAAATGCAATAAATCTGCACTAGAATCTTTTCTAAAAGACAACTGGATTCTTCATTGGTTGGAGATATCCGTAAAATCATATTAAAGAATGGGTAGAAGACAGATAAAAGTGGCGAGATTAATCATACATGCAAGTTGCAACTGCACATTCTTGAGAAAAATGCCAAAAAAAAAAAAAGATGGCCAATGTAGACCATGACCCTACTTCATAACATCTCATTACGAAAGATTTGTTTCTCTGGGCGATCACAATTATAATTAGCTAAAAGATGTGCTCTTCGTTGTACATGTACTGCAGGAAAGGATTTCTTGTTCACATAAATCACACAAAAATGCTTCACCGCGACTTAACATTGAATGCACCTTAGCCGTGTCTTTTCTTTCCCAAGGACTGTTCCGAAAGATACCTAGATCACAAACTAAAATCAGTATACATATTAAATGAAATGATTGAAAGATTTAACATTTCCATTGTCCAAGTTAAATCAAACAGCATCAAGACCACGCATTCACTTGAATATATCTCAGCTTTGAGATTTGGCATTATTCAGTATAGATACAGATTTTCTTCTTAGGTTTACAAGATTTGGATTCACCTTCCCAACTTTTATTGAAAAATATAGAATTACGAAGTAAGGGTACAAGTTGCCCAGTAAATACTAGAAACAAATGCAGAAAACTATACTACACATTACACGAGTTCACTAACAGGGAAATGGGACACCCTGAAACTCTTTATCAGTTGAAGTCCAATGAAAAGCTCAGAGTACAACACACGCTCAAAGCTCAACGTCCATAGCCACCCCCATCAAAAGTTTTAGCATTCTTTCCTAGCCAAAAACCCAAAAAGACTGCCAAAACTGAAAACTTTAAATAAATATAGCTTTTATGGACGAACCAAAACCACCACAATGCTGAGATGTCAAGAGAAACCACATTCTAGGCATTGCCCAATCAATTCCAACTTCCAATAACAACTTGCTCCAGAGTCTAGAGGCCAGCTCACAATGCAATAAAATAGGATTAATCAATTTGGCATCAATATAACATAAGACACATTAAAAAGAAAGCAAAAGGATGTATTGTGTCTTCTCTTGGATCACGTCACCGGTCTTTTACTTGCCATGAACCACTAATGGAACAAAAACTTTTTTACTTTAGTGAGGATAAATCAACTTCCAAATGAAATTAAAAGGAAGAGGAGGAATTTGAGAGGAATAAGAGTGCAAATTATTTGCTAGAAAAGAAGACCAGAATAATTTAGAACCCAAACCAGCTTACATTTTACCCTCGCTATCTACCCGAATTTGAAAACTTCTAATTCTTCGAGCAAAAGAATAAATTCCTCTGACTCATTGATGAAAACTAAATTACATCCATCAAAAGAAAAAAATGAGGAAATAGAATCTTTAGCAATTGGAGAATGCTGAAATAGCAGAGAGAAATGAGTAGCAAAATATGATCTCCCCATCAACCTCAAATCTTGTACAAGAAACAATGTAGAGTAACATGCGAAGAAGTATGTTTCCAAAGACTACCTGAAACTGTACCCTTTACTTTTATATCCCCCTCCTTTGCTATGCAACGCATATTTACTCATCAGCAGTACATCCCAAAGGATACTTGTTCCAGCAGGAATCTCCAAAATGTCATTCTAGAAAGGCAACCACTTCCCTCGAAATCTTAAAAAGAGACGTAACAAATTGGAAATTGCACTAGTTTTAGTCTCCAACCTTGCAACAAAAGCCCTTTTCCAACCATCCAACCTCTTCATGACTTTTGGAAACACTGGATTCCAAAAATTTACAATAATCAAACCAATCCCAACATATTTTTAGATACTTTAACAGCCATCACTCAGTTGCTAAAGAAACCACCTTGTTCTCTACCACATTCACTTCAACCAAAGAAGCCACCTTGTTCTCTTCCACATTCACTCCAAACCACCTTGTTTGGACCGGATAAAATCCATGCTGAAAAGACTAACCAATTACGACATATTAAAATTTTAGTGAGAAGAATTAAAAATAAATTACGACATATTTAAATTTTAGCAAGAACTAAAAAAAAAAATTAGGAAAAACAAATCCCAGATTCTGAATAGTCCTGGGCCCCCAAAGAAAACGCTAGATTAAGCTGACAAGCTTTTCACAAGTACATGTAGGTCCTCTAATAAAAGATTTAGAAAGCGAAGGACTTCGCCCCTAAAATTGTCTTTTTTCACTTACGGTGCAGTACTCCCCATTTATAGCTTTACATCATCCTCTATCTCCTCCTCTCCTTGTAATTCTGAAGGTAAGTTTGGTATGTGCCCATCCTTTTTTATATTCTTTTTCAATCAATAGATGAGGTAGGGGTCAATGCCAAACACCCCACCTAGGAACAGGTGGTTTTCTGGGGAAAAAACAAAATTGCCTTTTTCACTTGTGGTGCAGTACCAAAATTTCTGATACAAATTTCTTTCATAAGAGCTTCTAGGTTTGCTTATGATTAGAGGTTTTTTGTTCAGAATATGCTAGAGTAGCAAAACAACTACAGAGGATGGTGGCTTTTAGTAGTCTGTTGTAGCATAGAATAGGTGGCGGTGGGTCTAGACATCAAATTTGTGTTGGTGATCTTGGCTTTCCTACATCATTCTATGCTTCTCAAGTACTTAAAATTTGAGATCATCTCAATTATTTAAGTTTTACAATTATCAGCATTACCTATAGAGATTGTAGCACGTGCACAGAAATTAGTAAACGTAGCCAAAGAAATCTCAAACACAAGGTCATCAGAGACTCCTAGTTTGTTTTGAGTTTATTATGAATATCTTAAGGACCCTCGCATCTTGACATTATGCTAATAACTACATAACAGGTGTAACCCTAGTAGAACAGGGATATTAAAAGTTATACTCCTACATCTTAACTAAATTTTTGTGTAGTAAGGACATAAAGTATCTATTAACAACCATAAAATGTATGATCCTGTTCCTATTTTTTCTTGCTATATATATCTTATCATCTTGACTAGCTGGTGTTGATCAAGTTTTTTAAAAATATATCTTTAGTTTCCTACCAGGACAGAAACCAGTGAAAGAATCAGTATCACTTACTTTCCAGTGTAAAAACCTGCAGAATACCAAGCATTCAAAACCACAGCTAGATCTGTTCCAGACTCGGTGCTTTCTGGTAAATGGCTAACTTCTGGCTGCAATTCTTTATCCTCCCCTGCAATCCATTGGAAAAATAACAAATAAACCAAGACTTCATATTGCAGCATTCCTAATAGACCTTCTGCAGCACACTTGTGGTGTAGAGGTGTTGGTAAATGAAATGAAGACAACACGTTTCTTTCTTTCCTTGTTTTTTGTGAAAACTACATAACAAGTTTAAGAGCTAATAAAATATTTATTTTCCACCAGGAATGTTCAAATTTCTGTAATAATAAAGATGAGCATATATCATTAAGCTTGTCAAATATTCATTTTTCAACATGAAGTTCAAAATCCAGAACTAGTGGGGATCGCATGTCATGGCACATCTCTATCCAAAATATGGCATTTAGGAAATAAAGGTTGAAGGCTATACTGTAAGAAGTTGGTCGGTCTCCATAACAAAAAAACGGTGATGTATGCTAACTTATTCTTTTATCAATTCATGTGAGTGATGAATTCGTTCCCTGAAAATCAACCACTTGAGCAACCTCGACTATATTGTCAGACTGCAAGGCTAAACTTACACATTAGCCTCCCCCCTCAAATTGGTTCTTCTTATCCTTCTGTAAGCGTGCATGTTTCTCCAAGAATGGTAAGGTGGATTGGAGGTTTGTAAGACTGACAAGACTACAGTAAAACATACCCTTCCCTCGCACGTTGGTTTCTCTTTTCTTTCTATAAGTATACCCGCATTTCTGAACTGCAGTAAGGGGACTCGGGAGATTTGTGGTCTAGGGGCATGTTACTTCGGTTCAGACATTTGAATCCTGAGTGCTTAATCAATATAATCTATTATTTCAGTTTATAAGCCAAAGTGAAAATCCATGAGAGTGTAATATGTTAAAGAAGATTGAATAAGATTCCGAAGATCGTCGAAGATTACGATTATATATAGATAGATTGCTTTTACCATTAATTAATATTGTAATTGATTACTTCCTTATTTAGTTGTTCTTTTGGTCCTATATAATGAGAGAACCTCTCACATAGAGGCATCGAGTCTTTTATTGAGTATATTAGACATGGTATCAAAGCTGTTACGATCCTAAACAAATTATCCCGTGAATTTCGTTTTCCGGGGCTGCTTGCCCGACCAATTTTTTTCTCTTTTCGTTTGAATAACCACGAACCTAGTGCTGTTTTTTTTTCTCTTTTCCTCACAACCCAGAACACAAAACCCAATTAAATTGGATGCTACGACTGGAGAGAAAAGGAATATCTCTGATTCCTCCCACCTCCGAAATCGTCTCTCTGTAATTCGCTACCTCCATTACACGAGACCTCACAACGAGAATTTGGAAGATTTTAAACCTCTGTAATTCGCTACCTCCAGTACACTCCAACAATAGATTTTCTTTTCTTTTCAGCTTGGTTGAATCAAGTCTCTAGAGTATTTGAGAATTATATATCAATCGAATTTCCATTTTCTTGCTAGACCCGTCAAATTTGACACAGACAATGATCTGGTTTCTTCCTGCTTGCGTGAATTTGGAAGATTTTACAGAAATTTCTCTCGATTGTTCAGACTATACCTGCTGAAAATTTCTCTTCGGTCGGATCTTACAGATTTCGGTTATCGGCGTCGACGGTCACTGTTTCGGTGAGTTGCTGTCGGTTCTTGGAGTGTTTGCCGGCCATTCCTGTTTCAGCTTGTTGGGGGTGTGACTTCTGACCTCTCTTCTACATATTTCCGGTTTCAGCAGGTGACGTCTCCCTCTCTCTCGAAGTTTCAGGTGTGCTCTGTCTTCCATCGTCTGGGTATATATTTTGGCTCCTGTTCAGCAGTTTCGCACGGCAGGTCTGCAGAATTTTCGGTCTTTGTTGCATACAGTGCTTCTGGTGGTTTGCTGTATTTCCGGTGAATTGTTTCCTCTCCTGGGTTACTGGGTTAAATATTTATTGGATTAATGGGCTGTGTATTTCGTTTAATTGGGCCTGGAGATGTTTGGTTTCAAAATTAGAAACTTGGGATTTTTTTTTTGTTGGGCTTGGAATATTTGGTTTCAAATCAGAAACTCTTTTGGGCTGGGCCTAAGGTTTGAAGTTATTTGGGTTTCAGTAATTGGGCCGTTGGTTTAGTCTGGATAAAATGATTGGGCTTGAGTAATTGGGCCATTGGGTTGGGTTCTTGTTGGTTTAATTTGGTTTACTAAATTATTAGGCTATTGTTTTGGTTTTTGAGACTAATTATAATTTTAGGTTATGGAATTTTGGGATTCTTTGGGATTCTTATTTTCGGTTTGAAAAAAAAAAAAAAAACTCGTTGTATGGTTTTCATAGGAGGATCATCTTCCGATGTTTTGGCGTTAGAGCTTTTGTCGGAGCACAATTTCCGTGTTCGACTCAGTTCTCCCGACAATTAGAGCTCGCTGTGTATGTCGAAGCACTTCGTCAATTTCCTTTGGAAATTCTTACTGGTGAGTAAGCTCTCTGAAGTATCTTTGGAGTGGTTGAATCTTCATTTCTCTTTGGTCATAACTCAACCTTTTAGGTGTGGGTTTCTCCTGGTCATCCACGGTTGATTGGTTTTTTGTCAACGTGCGACTCTTCTTCGGTGCATCCAGTGTCGTGCGAGCATTCAGTGTTTCTCGTGGTTTCTTGTCGTTTCTCGTGGTTTCTCGTTGTTTCTCGTTATTTCTTTGGAGCATTCTTGAATTGATTTTGGAGTAGTTATTTGTTGTTCTTAATCTCTCGTTGTCAGAAATTTTCATAGTTGGTTGCTTTGATTTGGATTACTTCTTAGTGGGCACAAGTATTGTCTTCGTCGTCAGTTCCTGATTGCAAATTGATGTTTTTACCAGCATCAATTTGAAGGGGGATGTCAAAGAAGATTGAATAAGATTCCGAAGATCGTCGAAGATTACGATTATATATAGATAGATTGCTTTTACCATTAATTAATATTGTAATTGATTACTTCCTTATTTAGTTGTTCTTTTGGTCCTATATAATGAGAGAACCTCTCACATAGAGGCATCGAGTCTTTTA